AAGAGGGTGTCTCGCATCCTGCTCCCCCAAATCGTGGCCGATCAGCCGTCACGCGCGTGCGACGGATCTTCCGTTCTCACACGTAAGTTCGTCCTGACTGTCGAGGTCGTGCCTGTTCCGCGGTGATGCGTTCTCTCGTCGGCGAGGATGTCCAGAGAAATCGAGAGGGAGAGACAGAGAGAGAGAGAGGGAGAGTGAGAGAGTAAGAGAGAGAATGGACGCGTCGCCTGGTCGCCTGTTTTCCCATGGCAACGTCGTTCTATGGTGATCGAGACTTCAGCAACGATCGGGACGACTAACAGAAACGCGAGGAGAGGTAGCTCGTTTCGAGTAGGATCACAGGTTAAGGGATGAGAGATAGAATATATATACGAGTTAGACGCGGACAAACAACGTGGTCGCGACGCTTATCACCCCGTCTCATTTTTCGACTTTTGGAAAGATTTCTTTCCGATTCTTTTATCTTTTTCTTTCTCTTTCTCTCCGGTCGGAATCCTTTTCTGTAAGGACGAGGACGAGGATGATGGTTCGAGAAATACGAAGTAGGAGGCGTTATCGCAACGGGGGTGCGAAGCGTCGCGAAAGCGTCAGCCGCAGTTGTCCGTTTAGAGAGAGAGGATTAACGCTATTTGGATTAGCCGAGCGAGAATCGAGAGAAGCGAGAAACGAGACGCGAGACCCGGTATTTTTACACACGCGAATAATTTTTTGGTTGACTTTTATCGATGGCGACCGCCCCCGCGGCCGGCTTCAGTCTTTTTTTCTCTACCTTCCTTTTATCATGTTTGTAACGATCTATACACACGTGTATATATATACATATATAACTACATGTATATATTTGTACGCACTTTTGAATATTGTATACGCCGTATGCGGTCGTTGGAGGATGCGTTCGGAATCCGCGTTCAACATCCCGCCCCGCGTGTGTGTCGCTTGCCTTTCCTTTTCTCCTCTTTCCCCCTTTTCTTTATTTTTCGTTTCTTTCCCCCCACTCTTTTTTCCGCGACGTTCGAATCATTCTGGAATTAATCTCCCCCCTTTCTGGCCTTTCTCTCTTACCTCCCGCTACCCCTTCGCTGTCCCCCTTTATCATCTTCCCCTGGCTACACGCGAATCGTGAATTCCCCCCCCCCCCCCCACCGCACGCGGTGTGTTCCTCCTCTACATTTTTTCGAAGCAATTTTCGCTGTTGTACAATTTTTTGGGGGCTTTTCTCTTTTTTCCTTTTTCTACTTTTTAGCGACTCCATGATTTTTCTTACCCTTTCGATGTCTTTATTTTTACCCGCTGTTAGCTTCCTTTTTCTTTTCTCTCTTTTTGCTTTTTTTACAGCTCTCGTAACGCCTTACGGATCGTCGCGGACGATTATTTTAAGGATGTAATTTGCATTTCAACGCGGAGAGGAGAAACGCGTTTCGGTGCTCGTTGATTCGTTAGGTTGGGGGATGGATATGTTCGAACGAGGTGCAGGTGGTTTATGTGGATGCGCCGGTTGTTATCGTTAATTATAGGGTACTTGGTAACGAGATATTTGATAAAAATTTGCCGATTTTTATACGTGACTTTCGAGGTACGATATTCCAGCTTGTATGCCCGTTTTATTCTCCGTTGTTTTTCAATTCGCAGCCCCACTGAAATTTTTTAATTAACAGCACCACCGAATTTTTTTTCGTCCATTGCCCCGTCGAAATTTACCACACGCGAATGCTCATTTTCACTCGCTATGCTCGGTTCCCAGTTATCGAATACACCAGGATTAATCATAAATATTCAGCATGAAGTACAATAATGTCGCCGTATATAAACTTTCTTTATATCTTTACAATTTTTAACAATTTCATCCACTTTCGAAAATATTTCTCACGGAAGTGGAAATTAAATCGATCAATGATAGGAAACATTTTCACTGCACGAAAGAAAATCAAATTTCGAGTTCTCGTAACGCAAAGCGAAGAGCCTAATTTTTCCCGATTAATTCGCATATGTCTGCACATTTCTCTCAAGAAACATATCATGCCTCACTCTAGCACTGCCACGAGCCGCATGGCGTTACAGAGAGGATTTTTATTTCTTTTTATATAGCGATTTACGCGCTCGGTGCTGGCGCAACGAAAATGAGAAAGATTTTTACAGCGCAGAAAAAAAGAAAAAGAAAAAAAAAAATAATAACAGGCGACCGTTTTAAGCCGGACCACGAATCACGGGATACGGTCCCGTTTGCATTTCCGTTAACGCGAAGCTTTCGCGGGCCATAAGGGGCCCCGAATCTCTTCGTTTCCCAGCGACTGTGCATGTCGTTGTCGAGCATGCCGCGAATGTCGCGAGAATTTTTTAACCGGTTCACCACGTCGAAATAGCCAAGACACGCGAGATTGAAACACCGTTGAATCTCAATCTCGACCGCTGCGGGATACGGGATTCTCGCTGGCGGGCCGGGCGCCATTTTCTTGGCTGGCGCGCCGCCATTTCGCGCGCCAACGCGGTAAATTGGCGCTAAATTTAACGTACTAAATGCGTTTCGCTTCGTTGAATGAAATAACACGGTTCTATCGACTCCTGCAATTTTGTTGGTTAAGTTAAACTCGTTTTACGAAATCAAATCAAATAAAATCGATGTTTTTTGATTGATTGGAGCAATTTCTCTTGTTGGCTAGGTAAATGTTATTATTTGGTTAACCTTGTTATCGTTTTGCGGACAAATAAACGCAATTTGGCGAGTGTTTTCGGAACGGTTTCGTTGATCCGGCAAAATTGGGAGAGTTTAGTCGATAAAATTGTGGTTATTTGATCAACGAGGTGAACGTGATTCTGCGCAGTAAATTTAGCGTCGGTTTTATTAACCAAATGAACAATATCGTTCCTGTTCGAACTCGAAACATTTTATTATCAAAGTTGGCACTGTCTTACTGTTATTTAGATAAAAATGGCGTCGTTTCATCGATCAAGATCACGTGCACGTACGCGGGGATCAGTGAAACGCTTATTAATTAAATTTCACAAGCAAACGTCAGAGATTGTAATATTATAACACGGATAATACACTTCGCGGAACGAAATAGCGTTTCAGATTTTTAAGAAGAAATTTCATAGAATGTAAAGTGTTTAGATTTGATCGATCTTCTCGTAAGGCCGTGTTCGCCTCCTTCGTTTCGCCACCCTCTGTGACCCTACGCCGCATTTTTACCCATCTTATATATCATTTTTACATTCTTCGAATAATTAATTAACCTTATAGAATCTTAATCGATCGAGTAAACGTAATTGTTAAAGAATATCGATGAATTATATTATAACTCAGAATTCTCTGAACTTACATGTGTACATATTTACGAGAAAGAAAAAAGGGGGGGAAAAAGAGACGAAGAAAGAAGGAAGACGAGGCAGAAAAGGAAAGAAAGAAGGAAAGAAATACGATCGACTATTAACCACACGTAAAACAGTTCAAACGATCATATCGCGTTGCAGAGGGTCGTCGTAAATCGTGCATCAGCATAACAAATTAATATCGATATTCGACAGTTCTGCAGGATATAAAATTATTATTGCGTCGTAAACGATCAAAGGAGATACGATCGATCGTAACGTTGCATCGTGATCCACCGTACCGGGGCGAACATAATCGGACGACGAAGGATATCTGCGTGTGTACGTGCAGGGAAAAAGGAACGATAGAGGGAATATATAGAAGAAATATCATTACGTGCGTAGTTTCTGCGCTTTTTCCTCCTCTATGCGTCGACGAACTTTCGTTTCAGAGCACTCGAACCGTAGACGACCGCAAGCAAGTGTCAGAGATCTATTATCGCGGCCGATCTAGCGATGGTACGTAGCACGATCGTGTGACTTTTGCTCGATTGCATATCAATGATCAACCCCTCGGGGGAGATCAAGCTTATAGAGAAAGCGCGTAATGTGTGTAAAAAGGAAGTTATACCGGGTGTCGAAGACGGGAAGATCTCAGCTATAATTACGAGGGCTTATGGTACTCGTTGGAAGGCGGGAAAAATCGTTACTTCTTTTTCAAAATGTATCCTAAACGGAAAAAAATGATGGAAGAAATTTAAGGATAGAATTGTCATATCCCTATACAAAATTTGAGGTTAAGTGTAATAACAGATTCATATATACATATATTATAAATCACTATATATATTCGTGATCCATATTTTGGGATATACAATATTTTGTAATATTCCAATTCTCCATAACTGACATACTCAAATTACATAAAATTTCCGAAATTTATTATTCCGGGAATCGTATATATTTTCTTCATTTTCATTTTTATTAACTTTGCAATACTAACTTTGCAATTGTTATTACACTTGAACATCGCGATATTAAAAATAATAATGTTATATCGTTATACAAAATTTGAGGTTAAGTGTAATAACAGATAATATATATATTATAAGTCGCATATATATATTCGTGATCCATATGTTGGGATATACAAAATTTGGTAATATTCCAATTCTCCATAATTGACATACTCAAATTACACAAAATTTCCGGAATTTATTATTCCGGAAACCGTATATATTTTCTTCATTTTCATTTTTATTAACTTTGTAATACTAACTTTGCAATTGTTATTACACTTGGACATCGCGATAACTCGCTAAATCGATAGTGAAGAATTTTTCACGATTTTTATAAATAATTCGGTCCCGAGGAGGTTAAGCATTTCCCGTTTCCTTCGACGGGTACTGTAATCCCTGTTTCTCTGACGACACCCGGTATATTTCTCGCGACGTTCAGGAGCGACAGATCCGCCGATTTCCTTTCTAGATCGCTGTCCTACTTCTCCAAAGTATACGCTCTATTTATTTTTCTAGAACGCACTCGTCGAATCGATCTAATCATCGTCGACGTGTATATTAAGAATCGTGGGTAATAAGCAAGAGTGACGGGCATAGAACGACCGTAAAGGGT